TTGTAGCCTGTCAGCATGATCTTACAAGTCAAGTATCACACTACAATCCACATCAACATCAGTCGTAGTTTGTAAGATGTTTTACTATTTAATATAAAAGTTTCTAACTGCATGAACCTGTTTTTTTCGGCACGAAATAGTAATACCGTATTTACTCGAATAGATGCCGCGGCGTTTATTTCATTTTTCACGATCCAGTTGCGGCGTTTATTCCAGGGCAGTGTCTATTCGGGGGCGGCTTTTATTAAAAAACACGCAGTACTACATACCGTACTATATATTGTATCTTTTTTCTAACAAACAGTAACAAATCTCAATATATAAATGTCGTGTTCATTTTGTCTATTGGCAATTTATGATTTTAACCAGAGTTAAACTTCTATTTCAACATCAATGTTCTCCCTGTGGTTGGAGCAAAAAAAGTACAGTCACTTCGAAATAAAAAAATGTTTTAAAAGAAAATAAATTTCCATTGCTGGTATAATTGTTTCCTCAAATTGACGCCGCACCCAGATGTGGCGTCTATTAGGGGGCGGCGTCTATWAGAGTAAATACGGTAATTACATTTCATAAGGCCCAGCTAGTATTCAGGTACTAACAATTTAGAAAGAACTTAATAACTTCTTTCACTATCAGGGCGACCGTCACCTCCGACAATTCAAGGAAAACCGAAAACGACCGCATTTACAGTTGTCTGGGGTAGGTTTTTTGCTTGATCAGTAAATGCTAAAAAAATTACATAAAATGTTAAATTCTGACGTAAGATCCAGGGTATATGCYGAACTTTGTATGTGCCGAATATACAATTCCTATTAGTCTGCTATAAAGCATTTGATGGAGACGTCCTGAAAAATAAATCTCAATACTCTCTCGATCACTGTGTTTTCCAATATTGTGGATAACATGGAAACCCTTTTCATCAACTGTACCAGTCGCAGACTCACCCTACGTCATACTTAATTCAACATTGTTGAGTTTAATTGGCCATTCCAAAATTCAAAAGGAGACTGGGAACGAGTGTGAAAATGTTACATTCGTCGAAAACTGAACCTCACCACATGAAAGACCACATTAAAATAAGGGTTCTTGTCAAGTTTGGGCATATTTGGTTGAATACTCATCGAGTAGGAATTTTTTCAAATTTGTAAGAATTAAATTTGTAAGAATTTAAACAATTGCTTTTCAGATCTTTTCAATGGTGAAAAGTAGTTTTTATATTCGCATGTATAATGCCAAGAAGCTTATCAACTATTATCAAACATTAAAATTCGTCAAGTGCACATGCTCAGMGGTACAATCTCGAGCCCAGAGTCTTCGCGGCTAATGTCAGCGGTATGCTGACGCCGGAAAGACTCTGGGGGAATCGACTCAATCTCGTACCCAAAGCCCGCACTTTTGCCATCCAGCGGATGTCAATGCGTGAGAGACTCTGGAGGAATGCGTTATTTCTCGATTCGTGATTGGCTGAAAATGACGCAAGCGCGCATTGTTTTCAAGTCGATTTTTCAAGTCGCCAGCGCGCGCTCGCCCTGTTAGTCAAGAAAATCATCCTTTTCTCGCATAACCACACATGTTTTCACACATTTTTGTTTTTAAAAAGGTGTAAATACCTTTTCTTGACTATAAACCTCCTTTTTTATCATTTTGATGCTCTAAAGCGGCAAAAACAAAATTGACCTAATTTGCATAATTTGCGACGGAAAAGCGTCGCAAATCCAGTCGATTCCTCCAGAGTCTTTCCGACATTAACCGAGAAGACTCTGGGCTCGAGATTGGAATCGACTGGATTTGCGACGTTTTTCCGCCGCAAATTATGCAAATTAGGTCAGTTTTGTTTTTGCCGCTTTAGAGAATCAAACTGATAAAAAAGAAGGAGGTTTAGCACACAACTTAGTTAAGAAAAGGTATTTACACCTTTTTAAAAACAAAAATGTGTGAAAACATGTGTGGTTATGCGAGAAAAGGATGATTTTCTGGATTAATAGGGCGAGCGCGCGCTGGCGACTTGAAAAACCGACTTGAAAACAATGCGCGCTCGCGTCATTTTCAGCCAATCACGAATCGAGAAATAACGCATTCCCCCAGAGTCTCTCACGCATTGACATCCGCTGGATGGCAAAAGTGCCGGCTCTGGGTACGAGATTGTCAGCGGTACAAAGTAGTAACTCGGAACCAGTGCTACTCGGTCAATTTGGCTCAAAAATCATCCCACATTTCAGTGTGACTGAGACGATAATGAGACAGGGACATTCAGTTGTCCCTGCTAGGAAGCTAATGTTTCCTTTGCCTTCCGCTCCTCATAAATAACATGAGGGACGATTAGTCTAATCATCCTTCATGTTATTATGTACGAGGGACGACTACTAGTAATCGTCCCTCCTGCTATTCATGAGGGAGGGATGTTCGCTTGTAAACATCCCTCGGAAGACAAAAGAATTCGAGGTGATCATGGTATTACTAAACTAAAAAACTAGAATATAAACCCTCAAAACTAGACCCATATCTGCGTATATATATTTCTCTTGCTATTTCTAATTATTTCTAATCATTTCTCCCTCACCCATCCCCCTCATATTACATCTCATCACTCACACAGACAAATTATCCTACACAGACAATCTATCACCTACACAGAAAACTAATTTTTGGGTCAAAAGTCAATTAACTACTATATTTTTGAAAAGTCAGTTAACTACTAATGTTATATAGAGATTAACTTTTGGTCTCTTGTATCGAATATCATTTGCATTATAAATTGCATTTATAATGCTAGCATCACCAATAAACTGATTTGTGCAATCATTTTATGTATGTGGTTGTAATAAGTTACTTGCAGCAGTTCTGTATCCATATTTACGTAAGAATACAATGACAAATATCTCATAAGTTTTCACTGATTTTAAACATAGTTTGTAGAGGGAAATGGTTAGGAAGCCTTTTGTTGTTAGGTTTTCGTGCACTTTTTTCCAAGCGTGACCGTGCACAATCTTTTGTTTAACTATTGCCTCAGCCAAACTGGTCACATCTAAATGAACATAGCTAACMTTATTCTTATGACTTTTTCTACAAACCAAAAAAAATTTAATCAATATTGAAATATTTCATTTCATAATCTCATAGAGGGTGTTTATGCAGGCGCGTAGCGTGGACGTTTTGGTTAGACGCACATCTTAGGGACTGCGACACATATATTTCGGATCTGGTGGTAACGACCGCCAAAGGCGGGAGTATGAAGGGAGTCTGGTCCTTCCAAAGGAAATTTTGAAATAATATCTCTTTGGGAATGCGATTTCCAGCGTTTTAAGAGACAATCAATTTTATACGTGAATTTTTCAGTTAATATTTGCTTGCCACTAGAACGTACGTGCGTATATGCGTAAACGACGCTACGCGCCTGTCATGTTGAGTCATTTTCCAATTTCTATCCTATTTTTTTAATCCAATTTAAATGTTAAATTGCATTTTTTCCCAATATTGTTCTGATCTTGTTGTTCTGATATTTTTTTCTGATCATCTATAGTATTATATGTGTTGTTTATAGAACGAGAGTGTGTGTTTTATCGGGATATATAGATTCGAGCCGCAGGCGAGAATCTATAGACTGCTTTAGATCGAAGACGCGAACTTCGAAGATGACGTCTGCATGACGAGCGTGACCTGGGTCGAGAACGCGCGGTCGCGTGATGATGTTTTGATTTAGAAAGATGACGTGACCGTCATGACGTGACGAACACAACACTGTCTTTTTTATACTTTGAATGGTTGTATTTGTGAATTTTCTTGACTATGTCAAGTGGTAGAGGACTTCAGGCGRTTAGAGATGCCTTGTGTTTAGCATATGATCRAAACTGGATCGACGAATTTGAGTTTGCCTTGCTTTACGATGAAAAYAGTTCGAGAGAAATTTTTCCTTACTGGAAGTATCAACGTTTTGACTTGGATCTTTGGGACGATACAGAGTGTAAAACAGAATTGAGATTTTCAAAGAATGATTTACCTGACTTGTTGGATGTTCTTGATATTCCAGAGAAGATAATTTGCTCCCAAGGAACTACTTGTAGCGGTATGGAAGGACTTTGTATCTTACTGAAACGTTTGGCTTACCCGTGTCGATACACAGATATCGTTCCTCGATTTGGTAGAAATCCCACTACTTTATGCCTGATTTTTAACGAAGTGCTAGACATTGTTTATGACAATCGTCATCACCGACTCGACGAATGGAACCGAGCTTTACTTCAGCCACAATAACTTCTGGAATATGCTGGAGCTATTCACGCTCGAGGAGCACCATTGACCAGTTGTTTTGGTTTTATAGATGGCACACTAAGGCCAATTTCAAGGCCAAAAGTTAACCAGCGTATAGTTTATAACGGGCACAAGAGATTGCATGGTTTGAAATTTCAAAGTGTTATCACACCAAATGGAATGATTGCCAGCTTACATGGGCCATATGAGGGTCRAAAACATGACAGTTCAATGTTAAACGAAACAAACCTTCTTCAAACTCTAAGGCRAAATGCATTGGTAAATGGTGAACCCCTCTGCTTGTATGGTGACCCAGCATACCCGTTAGGCCCACATCTACAAATGCCATTTAGAGG